CCCACCCCCCAGATGCGAGCCTTGTGCTCAATGCTACCAGCTGCACGATGTTCCTTAAACAAGGTGTCTGGGCTGCAGACCCCTCTTCAGGGGCCACCCTCCACAGCCCTAGCCCCTTCCCTTACTCTGCCCAGCCTGGTTGCCCCCCCTTGGCTGCCATCCAGCCCCCAGCATGCCTCGCAGCCAAGCCCAAGGAGATGACCGGTCAGGGTCGGCCCCCTCACACTCCCTCACTCCTGTGCATGCTGCTCCCCCGCAGCCCTCACAGGGCCCCTGGGGTGAGGGCTGGGGTAAGGGCAGGAGGGGAGAGAGCTGGGGGTGAAGCTGGGGAGGTGGCAGTGGTGGAGGGAGCTGGTGACAGCACCCCAGGTGCTGATCTGTTCTATACATCCTTCTTGTCGTGGTCCCTGTGTGGATAAGTCCAAGCAGGCTGTCGTCCATACTAACTGGTCAAAACCCTCACTCCAAGGTTCCTTGGTGTGAGGTTGAAGGGAAACCTGATTGAAAAGAAGCAGCTGGCAGTGAGTTTCTCCTTAAGCCATTCCCGGTTTCTGGGTGGTTGATGTAAACTCTGTTGTTCTACAAGTGTCCTTGAGAATTTTAAAAGAAAATTGGCATTTTCTTGGAAGAATCTGGAACACAGACCCTGAGACCAGCGGAGGTGAGGTTCTAGGATTTGACTAAGTGTGCCCATGGTAAAGCCACATGCCATCTTACTTCCTTTGGGTGCCAAGAAAACTCCATACTTGAGCTGTCATCAGAAAGTCTATAAGAAGTTTGGAGTGTGACCCGGCGGCGGTGGTGGCGGCGGCGGCAGCGGCGGCCCCTCCTCACCCGAATATCAGGGCCCTCCAGACCCAGACGCCCCAACACCAGTTTCCAAGGAGCAACACCCTGCGGTACCATCCCATCACCCAGCAGCCCGGCAGAGTCCAAGCTGACCAGAGAGGTGGCTCCCCAGAGAGGCCCAAGACCTGAGGCAACCACACACACAAGGCACCAGTGGCCAACTGAGTAGTCACTGAGGTAGCCATACAAAATTGGCAACCATAGCAACATCTTAGTCAGACAATAGTGTCAAACCTGTGGACTGTGAAACCCCCTGCCACAATGAATAAAC